CCCCCCCCCCCCCCCCCGGCCTGCTCCCCTGCTCCCCTGTCGACCTGTCGCTGTGCGCAAGGCACCGGACGCCTCACACGGCTACTAAGTAGCTTATTGCCCACTTCCCCCCTGCTCCCAGATGTGCTCCTAGAAATTGCATCCTCTGTCATGCCCACGTTTGGGCTCGCGTCAAAGCAATGGAAAGCTTATTGAGGCCAACTGAGTGATAGGGCATAAAGTGCAACTTTTGGCCTCATATTCTCTTAGCTGCTATCCGTTGCCCAAGTTCCCAAACCAATGCAGCCCACTCACCGTTGGATGTTTGTTGAGTGGACTTGAGTCTTCTAGCTGGCTCCAGAGTCGACAACGGGCTCGAACTCGTAGCTTCCCGTACATACTATGGCCAGACAGGATCAATTGATTGTTACAACACCAGGGCGGGGGGCAGAAACTTGAGAGCTAATGATAGTTGGCCATCAGTTGCACATGTAGATCCCAGCGTCAGCTTTCGGAATGTAACTTGACTTATTCAAACCAAGGTTGTACTTGAGTGTCGGAAGCATCATGCTCGATAAACGAGTCTGCAAAGTCTAGTGGGCCGCTCCCGTGACCGAGGTATTGTTGTGTGATGCCGCGACTGTCGCCGCGACTGCCAGGAACCATGATGCACTCACAATGTCTAGCGGCTGCTTTTACCCTAGCCAGCAGGCAACATGCACCCCCTCTCCCGTCTCACGCCCCTCCCCCCATTCTTCACCCTCTCCAACCTCAGTGCATGTTTCCTGCATCCGCATCGATCTTTTCATTCCAGAATGCGCCTAGCAATGTCACCCTGGGCTCTGCACACCTGTGAAAACTCATGCATGTACCTACCGCTGTTGTGCCACCCCAAGACTCCCTGGGGGTTTCCGAATGGTGTGTCACAATCTCATCTGCTGCGCCATGAACCCGACTTGCTGACTTGCTTGGCTAGGGCTCCGGGCCACAATCTCGGGCTATATGAAGTCCCGCCACGTCTGACACGGGTCACAGGGAAAGATTTCGGTATGGTTGTCATTGCACAGTGCTATTCTGTCCTACGAATACCCACCTTCGATATTGCGAGCACTATCGGTGGCGCGCGGCAGGGCGGACGCCATCGTACTGTACTATTAACGCCACCAACCATCAACACATGGCGTGTACGCTGGGACTGGGTATTGGACGCTTCCTCTACAGCCTTGCAATGCGCTGCTGGGTGTTCCAAGTATCAAGGCCTGGTAGGCGAGGGAGGACAGGCTTGTGCTATCGCGGCCTCTTGAAGGTACCAGTATGATAGGGAGCCAATCACTCATCCAGATGGCTTTGGAGAGCCCGGGCCGCCCGCCGATCAGGACCATCCGTGCCATGTAAGCCCGTGGCAGGCCCACGGAATATGTCTTGCCCAACGGTCTCCAACATCGGCATCAGCCCAAAGATTGGTCCCATGTGAGTGAGCCCTAGCGGGAACGGTAAAGGGCCGCCGTCGGTCTCCACTGAGTCTTTTAGAAGACGACACCGGCAGGTATGCGAGACACTTGCTCAAGCATCTGTCACGATTGGGGTTGATTTCACGGCAGCGCGACTAAACGTAAGCAATGCCGGCCACGGAGCACACTGCCTTGCTGTTGCAGCTCCCCTGGGCCGGCTTTTTTGCGACGAGACACTAATATGAAAGCAAATAGATGAGGGACCAGAGGCTCATTAATAGCTTCCCTTTTTTGCCGGCTGGTGCGGAAGGAGGTACTCAACAGGGAACAAGAGTGGCGATTGCGCCAACTTTCAAGACTTTTGTCAACGAATTTCTTAGGGTGAGGAACCTAGGCCATAACATACCAGGCGCGGCCAAGTTTGGACGGACATCATCGTCTATCGTTCACAGTAGTACATCACGGCGAAACAGGACTGGGCAAAGAACTATGCTTCACTCTTCTCAGCTTGCATCCGAGCCCATTCATTACGAGGCGACTGTCCATATGTTTTGGCAAAAATATGGCGCCACTGATGGCTCATGTCAGCGTCAATTGCGTCGCGCATTACCCAAAGTGAAGAAGGCCTTCAATGTTGGCAAGTGGGATGTCCCTTGTGCATATTGCAGGTCCTCTAATGCTGGCAAGCCCCAAAACTATTTCCTAGTACCACTGATGATGGTTACGGTGGTTAGTGGTCGCCGCCGTGTTACACAATGGCGCGCGGCAACACCCTCGCACAAGCATCCCTGAAAAACCACCTCCCGAGCGGTTGAGCCGATTCCACATCCGTCATATACTGCAGCCCTCCAACGTGTACTTTCATACTGCTGGCCACGGATGTTGATAGGAGAAAACTATGCAACCCTACGAGGTAAGTGAAATGTGTTTGTTAACATGTCGCACTTGGTTATCCTGGTCGCTACTTGAGAGGGGTATCAGTATGCACCAGTGTATATTGGCGGTGCTCCTTTTCGGACGGACATACATTCAATGTTCCCATGTTATGTTGGGTGGGGTACGGAGTTGATGCGTACTAGCACCTACGTACTCGTGCCACGCCCCACTATTTTAGGGGCCTCGTTTCACTCACCACCTAAAGGTAGTGCTTATCATTAACGCGGCCCGATTATTAACGCGGCTTAATTTTAAACTTAAACGCGTTTAACCGTAAAAATACTTATAATTAGCGTTTAAAAATTAAAAAGTAAAGTGAAAATACGTATAATTAAGGCCCTTTAATTTATTAATGAAAATCTAAGTGTAAAATTACGCGCTATAGCCTAAAATTTTAATGTATCTTATAATAGGCTTTAATAATAATAATAAAGCGTTTTTATTAAGAAAAGTTATTTAATAGTAAATATAAAGCTTTTAAGAGAAGAAGAAGTTACTTTATATAATTATATTAATTGCCTTAATAATACGAATTTCACTATATAAGTTAAATTTATTATAGATATTATAAATTACATTTTAAAAGAGAGGTTATTATTAA